GAATGAACAACAGAAAAGTAGGTGAAGGGTGACAGCTGTTGGTGTAAGACATGAAAAAAAAATTGTAAATTATCAAGAGTTCATGAGGGAGGGAGGGAGAAAAATGAGCAATACCAAGGGCTCAAGTAGAAAGGCAATGTTTTGAAAATGAGGATGGCAACACATGTAAAAATGTGCTTGACACAATGGATGTGCATATGGATTGTGATAACAGCTGTAGGAGCCCCCAGTAAAATGATTTAAAAAGAGAGAGTGTTACTGTCTCAAAACCCACAGGAGCAGTTCTACCTTATCCTGTAGGGTCGCAATTGATTAGATGGCAGGAAATTTGATTTTGGGTTTTAAGTATAATAAAGACATCTTGGTGCGTCTGTCAGGTAAGCATTGGGCTGCAAACTGAAATGTCAGTGGTGAGGTTGTCTGCTCCTGTACAGATTTACAGCTTCGGAAACCCGATACATGAGGTCACCAGGAGTCAGAAGCGACTCAATGGTAGTAATTACATTAAAATTTTATAAAGCGCAGCATACCACTCACTGTCCTCATGCATAGAACTTCAGTTTTAATCCAACGAATTTCACATTTCTACTCTTTCTTTACTGGAGAAGGGCACAAAAGAAAATCCAGTCACATGATTTTATCATAATTGTTTTTCTTCTTTTTCTTCATGCCCTTTACTTTTCTTATCACATACATTAGCCCCGAGTTATTAAAAATTTATTTCAAGATATAGAAACTTCTACAAATACTTGTTAACTCTCATAATCATGGTAAATAGTCAACAGTAAAGTTAGAACTCATGCGACTCAGAAAAACAAGGCAACCCTATGGCGTTCTGGCTCTCACAGGGTCACTGTAGGAAAACTATCCATGTAACTTGTACTTTTCAAATTAAAACTTGTAATTTTCTATCACGATACCGTGTTGTACTCTCTAGTTCAATCATCTAAGTGCCACTTGGCTTTTTGCTCTTTTACTTAAACAAAGGGAGTGGCACTCACTCACACACACACACACACACACACACACACACACACACACACCTCTATCAAAATATTTATGGAATCCTGTATTTTCCCACCAAAAGTCTTACCATGAGATTTCCACGTATCTTTCAGATATGCACTGAGAATACCAGTTCCACTGTTTATTTTTTCTAGTCTTGGTGCAGTGCCTCTGATTTTCTAAAAACCTACATGTTTGCCAACTGATTCAAAGGAATGCATGAGCACACACGGATGTTACCGGTTAGCAATGCTGAAGGAGGAAGCAGTGGGATATATTTCAGCAACTGCCCTGAAAGTGGAAAATCTACCATCACAATTGTATTTACGCAAACAAATAATATCCAGTGATGTTATTTTCTAGTTTGAATTTTTAACTGTTTTCAATATTTTTTAGCAAATTTCACATATGGTTTTCAAAAGTGTGAAAGATTTTCATTTTATATCATCGAATTGTAGTAATTAAAGTTTTAATATATGTTTTTCATTGAGGTCTTTACAATTGTTATAATTTTCCATGGGAAAATTGTAAAATTGAAGTAAACGAACATCACTTATATTAATATCAACTAGCACAAATCCAATATAAGGCAAAATTTAAAATCATACTAATATTCCAAGGACTGTCTTCTTTTATTTCCCAATGTATTCTCTTTTTACTCTCTAAACTATTACATTGCTAGTTCCTTCAAGGTTAACTCAAATGTCACTTCTCTCTGGAGCTGTCCTATATCCACAAGAACAGAGCATTCAGGATTTCTAAATAAGTTTTCTGGGTTTTTTTTCTTTTAAAACGTTTTATCAGGGGCTCATACAACTCTTATCACAATCTATATATACATCAATTGTGTAAAGCACATTTGTACATTCATCATTCTCAAAACATTTGCTCTCCAATAAAGGCCCTGCTCCCCGCCCCCTCCACCTCCACCTCTCCCACACACACACACTATCATGATCCGAATTCTACCTTGCAAGTCTGGCTAGACCAGAAGATGTACACTGGTACAGATAGGAACTGGAAACACAGGGAATCCAGGGCGGATGATCCCTTCAGGACCAGTGGAGTAAATGGCGATATGAGAGGGTAGAGGGAGAGTGGATTGGAAAGGGGGAACTGATTACAAGGGACTATATGTGACCTCCTCCCTGGGGGACGGACAACAGAAAAGTGGGTGAAGGGAGACGTCGGACAGGGCAAGATATGACAAAATAATAATTTCTAAATTATCAAGGGCTCATGAGGGAGGGGCGAGTGGGGAGGGAGGGGAAAAGTGAGTTTTCTCAGTTTTATGCTCCCACTTGCGTCTCAGCTTAACAGCTGGTGAACTGTGCTTTCATCAACAAGTTCTTTGATAATGGAGCACTGATTCTTTGAATTTGCCTACTATGCCACTGGTCCTGAAAAGAAACAAGCAAATAAACTATACAAGGAACCACACAAAACAAAACAATGCTCATAATTAATTACAGATAACCCTGGAAGAGCTTTCCTCAGCTAACTCACGGCAAAAGATCCTGGATTGCACAGAACTGTTCTTAGTCTTCAAGTAATGTAGCACAAGGGATGGCACTTAGCACATTAATGGAATAGTCAACGGATATTTGCTAACTGAGTAGACACAAAAATTAATGATGAATAGCTGGGAATATCACCAGTTTTTCTATCATATATCCTCAAATCAGTCCAATTTCAAGTGCTAACCCCAATATCTAGATAGCCAGAGGACAGAGAACAGTCTCTCTCTACAGAAGGACAGACGGTGTTTCTCATTAGCTAGACTTCTTTTGTTATTAAATGTAGCTGACGCACATGGAATATCTTCAAGAGAAATCTCCAGAAATTGTATATTAATAATAATATATGTTTAATATTAATTCTGGAATAACCTATCCCTCTACCAATAAAGCCACATTGTGAAGTTAAATGTATTTGATGAGATTAAAATGTGAAATTGTATTACTTAAGGAATAAAATAAAGCCAACGTAGAATGTAACTTGGAATCACAAAAAGACACGCATATCACAGGTGAATTTCGGACTGAACAAAAGGCGACATTCATCCTGGCTGAGAAAGAAAGAGCTGCGTGATTTGACACATGTTATTCACCTAGCATTATACAAAATACTCATTTAATATTCAACCAGGAGAGAGAGTGGCCAAACAAACAGGTGCTCTGGACTTCTCCAAATGCACACTGACTACAGTTCGTAGAAGTGTGGGACTTGCCCATATCTGAGAGTCAAACGAGCACATTCCCCGTACCAAACTTTATCATTTCCCACAAATATAATGGTACGTTTGATCGGGAGAAATGCGAGAGCACATTTCCATGTTTAATGTTTAAATAAGGAATTTTCATATCAATATATTTTTGTATTTGACCCTTCTCATTGTGAAGAAGTTCTCTCCAAATGTTCTCCCAAAAGTCACATCTGCCTACAATGCTAACACATTCATCACTGGCTTTTATTAGTAGAAGAAAGACAATTATTAGAGCATATCTTATATTTGAGTTATCTTAAATAATATGTACTGTACTCATCCCCAAGCCCCCTAACTTGTTTCTGCTGATTTAAAATGTCTGAACATTTTCTGAACTCTTTAGTCATTTGTTGCTGAACTTAATACATATAATTGTAGGCTCTGCAGAGGGGCCTAAGTAATGAAAACCAGGTGCTAATTAGTCTAGAATTCTATGTCTATTTTAGCCACTAGTATTTTTTTATTGGCACAATTTCTGTAAAACCTGGTGCTAATATAAACTAAAATGAAAGTAAAAATGTTTTATAGAGATATATTTATTGGACATTCTGAACAATAGATTTTTGGTTTTAGAAAACTTAAAAAAATAAGATATACCTTGATTAAAGACTGTGTGCTAAACATATAAAAATTGTTCTAAATGCGAACATTATTTGCATCATAAATCTACTTCTTACCTGTGCTGCTGGATATATTAACATCAATACTGATATCAGAAATTCCTCCTCCCTTCAGAGACGCTACACATGTGTAAGTCCCAAAATCCGTGAATTTTAAATCAATGATGTCCAGGTTCGTTGTTCCCGGTGAGACATCAGGATCAGTCTGTGTAATAACCATCCGCTCAGAGCTTCTTAGTGGACGACCATTTTTAAACCAACTAAAAGTTAACTCCTCAGAAGGAACAGCTTCTACTTGGCAAGATATTTTCACCTCACGCCCAATCTGGATGTTGTCATCTTTGTGATAAGGATCTGGTGTGATCCAAAATCGTCCTTTTTTTAATGCTAAAATATAAAAATTCCATAAGTAGTTAGTTTTACTTTCATAATGTTAGGGATTCATTCACTCTAGGTAATCACTCTGGGTAATAAGATCTTTATTTACAAAATGAAATAAAATGTCTATAGTCTACTTGGTTATTTCAAAGTAGTATGCGTCTCAATACCACTTTTTATATAACTCAAAATAATTTAAATATCAAACTAAAACACTTAGAAGCTCTAAACATGGATTCTCAGGAATCTATTTTTTTCAGTGATATAAAAATGAATGTGATAAATTATAAAATTGATATTTAAAGAGTTTTCCCACTGAATTTTGAAAAAATAATGAGACCTGTTTATTTATATCATAATACATAACAGTTAAAATTATACCTACTACTCACTTACTACTTCATTTGATATTGTACATTCACTAAAATAGTAAAAAAAATCTACTGTCCCACTGTTTTTTGCCTTAGCAATGAACTGTTTGACAGTAACAAAAATAAAGGGATAAGCAAGAATAACACTAGATGTGATGGTTAAGGCTATGTGAAGTCTTGATTGGGATAGGATGCTCAGTGGTTTGGCATTTATTAAATAATGTAATTTGGCAGTTATGTTATGATGCAAATATGTACTTTTATAATGCTGTAATTTGCATTTGTGCAATGATGTAGTCATCTTCCATTTTGTGACCTGCTGTGGTCATCCTTCATTTTCACATAATGATTTTTGCTTAATGAGAGTCTTTGTAACCTACCTCTGTCAATAAGTGAAGATTTATATAATAATATAATCATTAAATCCATTACCTTACTATCCCATCTCTAATTTATATCTTAATTTCCTGAATAACTCAAACATTACATAAATGTCATATCTAAGAAAATTCTTCTAAGATTGTATTCATAGACTAAGCAAAACTTTTTTGGTAATAATTGAGTCTGTTCTTATTCACAAGAAATTTTCATATATTGAAATAGCCTGACCTCAACAATTGTTAATATATTTGCCAAGAACTACTATATTCCACCACACATAACTATTTCTAGTAAAAATGTTGTTAGCATTCTCATACAAATAGACAAAACAACTTTTTTTTACCATGATTTGAAATATGTACACCATTTGTATTTTAACAGTGGGGCTTCCTGCACTGAAGGTCACGTGTTCTTTCCACATGGGTGGGTCAGTATTAATGACAGTCACAAAGTTGCTGAGGCATCTTTACAATTGCTAAGACCCCACTTCTGGACTAGGAATGAGACAGTGGTCTCGCTCTGGACTAGAGTGGAATCCTTTTCACAGGGATTCTCCTATGCATCCATCATTTGGTTTACCAACGTCTTCCCTAATTCCATTCTCTCTTCAACACCAGTCTCCATAGAGAGTAAAATGTAGCCTACACAGTGAACAATACAATTATCAAAATGAAATTGGCCAGTCACTCTGTATATTACATAAATATATAATAACTCTACCAAAAGAGATATGGACTTAGTGAGCCTGCAGTTTTAGGTGGTCTTTAAGTGAATTTTGGATAATTTCTCTTGAATTTAAATACTGGTACTTTTTTTTTTCAAGTTTATCAAATAAAAACCAGGACACACTAGAAATGCATAGAACACTGCAAGAATACACTAGCAATTTAGGAGGCAGTGAGTTTGTTAGTGAGAGAACAATCTCAGAAAAGGAAAGAGTGGTTGCACAAATCAACCTGATGCCATTGCACTATGAAATGGTTGAATTGATGTATGTGTTGGTTGCATATTTCTTTAACAACCTCAAAATGCATAAAGACATACATAGATAATCAAACATAGAGGGAAAAGCTGCTTCTAAGCTTCTTTTACTATCTTCTCTTATCCAAAATATTTTCCTGTTTGCATTTTGGAGAGGAGATAAAAATTTTATTCAAAAAACTATGTTTGTATATTTCATATATTTAATAAATACTTATCGTGCTCCTCCTCAGAACGAGGTAGGAGGATGTTTCCATAAAATGAACAAAATAAATCTACCCTCCACTCCCGCATTTTGCAACTCCTACACTCATAGATTATAGACAAATTTATGCTCCAAATTTTAATATTTTGTCTAGAGAAACCACACATTATATCGATATAACGTGTTCCATCGGATTGAAGAAGTACAAATCTTACATAATTTATTAAGCATTATATATAAAAAGCTCAAATGTTCAATTTTAATGAAAATACAAAATGACAAGTACTTAAGTCTCAGTTCCTTATTGTTATTTATTGCATTATTTTTTCATAATAAAAAGCAGCTTAGAAACCTTATTTATCCCTAGCAATATTTTTCTTCAGTCAATTTTCAAGGATGAAGATAGGTAAAATTATGGCACTCTATTATCTAGCCTCATATATTTAAATTTTAATAGGCACTGACATATGAATTCACATTGAATCTACAAAGTGCAATGTACTGAAAACATCTATATCTACCCACCATATTTGTCATATAATATTGTGGAAACACAATTTTAATGGAATTGAACTTTTGCAACACAAAGCAAATCATGATAGCCCAGAATGTCTCTTTTTTCATATTCAAAAGATCTAAATAAATAGTATGTCAAGAAGTATTTACTTTTGTTGACACCACAACACTTAAATGAGAGGGTTTTTTGCTATGCATTTTCTATATACCGAACCTAAAGAGAAATGAGAAGCCTAAATAGAATTTTAAAGGAATAGAGAATTTACAACTTTGGTAAGTTTTCAATCTACAGATTACTTAATTAATAATCTCACATGGGAATACTTTCTATGATCACTTCCTTTCCAATGTTTTATGTTGGTTGTCATATACAAACAAGCACAAGCCCAGACCCCAAACGCACCCCCCAAAAATGCAGGCATATCAGTGAATTAACATTATTTAGTATGCAATTATTATTTTCTAGTACTGTGTTTTGTATAGAGACATACTAAAATAAAAACAGAAGTAATATGTGACATTGATAGAATTTCAAATTCAGACAAACTAGTTAAATTAACTAATAAAAAATTGATGTCT